CAGCAGCGGAGGTAACGGCGCCCGGGTGGGAGCGGGAGGACTCCTTGCGGGTCCGGGCTGCCTGTCCATCAGCGCGGTGGGCGGGAAGGGCGGGGGCGACGGGCAGCGCACCCTCCCGACCAGCCGGGGCTGGGAGCACGCCGGGGACCTGTGCGCAGGACCTGTGAACCGCGCCCTGTTGCTCCGAGAGACCGACCAGCAGAGCCCGGGGAGCTTGCTCTCCAAACGCCGCCTGGCTTTGTGGGGGCCCCCCTCTTTGCGCACCCAACCCTCTCGGGTGGTTCGCATATCTTGCTGTTGCTCTGCAGATGCGGTGCTGATCCCTGTGTGTGTGTGTGTGTGTGTGTTTTTTTATCGTACTATGGCAGAGGCAGGTCCCATCCAGAAAAAAATTGGCTTCTGTTACCGAGACATTGTCTGAATATGCTCTTTTTAAGGCGATGCTTCAATTTGTGTGTGTGTGTGTGTATTTTTAAGCCCCCTTTTTATTCCTTCAACACTTCAGTTAACTCCAGAACTAATTTTATGAGACAGACCTTAAAAGTGACTGAAATATTAAAAAATATATTTTTAAAGACAATGAAGAATGTTACCTCGTCATGATTGTGTTCGTAGTATATCATCTGAGATGACAGCGTGAAACGATGACGTGTGTGACCATAGTCTCGGTAGCAGATAAAATGTATTATTCAAGGCCATCTTTGTGGATCCTGCCCATTGTTTGTGTGACTTCACAGTGGTAGATCCACAGACTGGATCTACACTCCTTTAAACATTCCCCATCTTCCGGGAAGTATAGTGGGAACAGAAGAGAGAGTCAGAACATTTTGTTACTTAAAGCATCCAGTTCCTGTTGACTGCCTTTTTCACAAGTTAGGTTAGCTGTAAGTAGGTGTAAATAAGAGAAGACAGCCCAAAAAGGTTTCTTGCTTGTCAGAGAGTGTGGACCCTTTCTTCCTGTTAACTTGTGAGCCGGTTTAGGCTGGAAGGCAGTGCAGCCAGGTAGGGTTGAGATTAGAACCCAAGTCCTGAGACAGCAAACACCTCTGTCCTGTTGGTTCTCTTCTGATTTTAGGTTTGCTATTCAAATTGGCCTTCACTCTCAAGTAGTATGCTAATTGATGGCCCTTCATATTTATTTTTTAGTAACATTCAGAAAGTAAGATTTGATGTAACTATTTTATTTACTTATTGTTCGTTTTGTTAGAGACAGGGTCTCTTTATTATGTAGTTCTGGCTGTCCTGGAACTCACTCTGTAGACCAGGCTGGCCTTGAACTCAGAGAAATCCACCTGTCCCTGTCTCCTCCTAAATGCTGGGATTAAAGGCATGCACCATCACACCCAGCCAGTTGTAACTATTTTAAAAATTGAGTCTAGAAATATTTTCCTTTCTTTAAAAAGAAAAAGGGGCCAGGAGTGGTGGTTCAGAGGTGTAGACAGGTGGATCTGTGTGAGTTCAAGGCCAGCCTGAACTACATAGTGAGTTCCAGGACAGCCAGGGCTTTGTAAGAGACCCTTTGTAAAAAAAATTAATTAATTTTTTTAAATGGAAAAGAGGGCTGGAGAGATGGCTCAGGCATTAAAAGCAAGGCTCACAACCAGGAATATGAAAATGGGGAAGAAAGGTTGAGACCCTTGTCTTCTGCTGCCCAATGTCCCACTTGTTTGTATGCAGTATCAGAAGGGGTAAGAAACAGTTAAGGCCTGGGGTGTTTTGAAACTGCAAGCTCATTTTGTTTAGTTACTGACCGGTTTTATCTGCAATCCTTTCCACTAGGTTGGGGGATGGTGTCTATGATACCTTCATGATGATAGATGAAACCAAGTGCCCACCCTGTTCAAACACACTCTGCAATCCTTCCGAAGCACCTCTCTCCAGAAGACTAAATGTAAGTACAGGACGGAATTCTTACTTGAGATTGTCTCAGGGGCCGGGCAGCGGTGGCACATGCCTTTAATCCCAGCGCTTGGGAGGCAGAGGTAGGTGGATCTCTGTGAGTTCGAGGCCAGCCTGGTCAACAGAGCGAGATTCAGAACAGACACCAAAACTACACAAAGAAATCATGTCTCGGGAAAAAACAAAACAAAAAAAAAAAATTGTCTCAAGGTAGAGGAAGTGCTGTGTACTGCTCAGGTTCAGTTCTGTATCACTGGCAACAGACTTCCTTTTGTTTTGGTGGTTTGTTTCTCTTGAGTTTTTTTGTTTGTTTGTTTTTGGAGGGTTTCTTTCAGTTTTTAAAACATTAAAAATTTTTTTTTGGACACAGAGTCTCAGTATGAAGTCCTGCCTGGGCCTGAAATTCTGTGTAGACCAGGCTGGATTCAAACAGATGCACGTGCACTCTGTCTCCAGAGTGCTGGTGTTAAATGGGTGTGCCACTGTGCCTGCTTGGTTCTATTTTGATTTCTCCTGACTTGGGAAAAACAGTCCTGAGGTTGGTGTTCGGCTTTTTAGAACAGTTTTGAAGTCTACCCTCCCCTTACACTTTTTACTGGGGTGGATATGGCAGACGGGGTGGGGTGGGGATCCTCTTGTTTAGGTGATGTTTCTTTTTATAGCAGATGACATACATAGAGTATTACAGATACTTCTTTTAACAGAAACCACGGGGAAAAAATGCCAGAATTCATAATCAGCTCAGCTTTCCTCTCTGGTCTGGCAGATCAGTATGTGAAAGGCAGCTGGTTTTGTTTTTGTTGTTGTTATTTTAACTCATAGATTAATCTTAAACAGCTAGGGTTTTGATGAATTCAAATCCTGTTAGGGACTGCAGACCCTTAGCTTTTGACATTGTTTGGTTGAAGGTAATAATGAAGTGACTCCACAGCCCATCTGTGTAAGTAGAGTCGTAGAGTCTGGACAAGTTCCAAGGCAAGGAGCCTGTCTGTGACTTGAAAATGTGTCACTTAACAGACCTTCCAAGGAGCTGAGCTGACTGCTTCGTAATCTTCTCTTTCATGTTTCCACTTACCACTTGGCAATTGTTCTTTTCTTATTTTACTCTGTAATTTGACTTTAAAAATATTGCATTTATTTATCTGTGCACGTTTCGTGGTGTGGCGTGTGTGCCCTCCCATGCAGGCGAACACTTGAGTGCATGTGTGCCTTCATTGGTCAGATTTGGTGGCAAAGGACCCTTACCCGCTAAGCCATCTGGTTAGCCTTGTAACTGTTCCTACTTCTTCCCTGGTTTTTACGACTTTCAAGGCTAATAATATTACATATGCCTGGTCTAAAAATATTTGGAAATCTGGTCACGCTCTTTTTTCATCTCTTCTGGAGCTCAGTGGAGGTTCTTTCCATTGCTGTGAGTTTGTTTCTGTGGAATCTGAACACCTTTGAGAAATCCAGAACCATCTCTTGGGTGACCATCGTATTTCCTTTATTGTCAGGGTGGGGAGCAGGGCAGCGTGCGGGCAGCCGTGGTGCTCGAGTGTACATCTGGGTCAGCAGGCAGCAGGAAGAAAGTGTGACACTGGGCCTGGCTAGAGCATCTGGAACCTCAGAGCCCACCCCCCAGTGACACACCTCCTCCAACAAGGCCACACCTCCTAATGGTGCCTCTCCCTATGGCCCTATGGGGGCCATTTTTATTCAAACCACACAACTGTTGGTTGAGGAAAAAAAAAATGGAAGGAATGTTTTATTATAGCACAGAAGACTTGGTATATAATTACTCATTTAAGGCTTTGAGATTTATAAAAAAAAAAAGAGAAGCATGGTAAGGAAAGATCCCCTTTCTGTGTGGAAAAATCCTTGATGGAGTTTCCCCAGTTTGCTGGAGATCTGAACTTTGACAATCTGTAGTGGACTATATCTGAGCTGTCCACTGTCCGAGAAGCCACCCTTCAAGAAAGACACGCCTCGCATCCCAAAGAGACTGTGATGAGAGCCTGGTAGCCACAGGTGAGGGGAGAGGAGGAAATGGGGATGGTGTCCACAGAAGAAAAACGGGGCAAGGAAAGGACAGCGGCCCTGTTTACACTTCCAGGGACTTTCACATGAACCGTGGGCACGGCCTGGGAATTCTTGGTGGTGAGGGTAGCATTCAGTTTGCAAAGAGTGCAGGTCGGGCTCAGTGTTCGGACAACCCGGGAGTCAGAGCAGTGGCGCTCTTAGTTTTGTTAAAATAATTCTATGGGAATTGGACCTCTATTAAATACTTGTCCTTAGTAATGTACTGTGCCTGAGACCCAGCTCCTTATCACACACAGAAGTGAAGACCTTCAGAGTCTTCCATTAGGCAGAGGATTTCCCAGGGGCAGATCCAGGGTCACAGATACTTGTCCCACCAGCTTGCTGATGGTGACTCCTAGAGAGGCACCCCTTTGCATTAAGGCAGTGGTTTATGTTAAAGTCTGAATACCCCTGGAAAGACAACAGAAGACACTGAATAGCAAGCAGAAGGCAGGCTTTATGCCAGGGAGGAAGAGAGCTAGGTGTCTCCATGCAAAAACTCATTGCTGGGCTCTTCTTTGGGCAGATAGTTAGCTAGATGTTCAGTAGAGAGAGCCTTGTGATGTGGAGCAGAAGCCACCACAGGAAGAAGAGAAAATCAGCAGGGAGAAAGGGAGAGAGAGGATGGGGGCTTGAGCCGTCACATACCGAGAAATTTTACATAGTGGTAGCCAGTGTTTTGAATGTTTTACAGTTTGTCAGAGTCTTTCGTGTTTTGATTATAGTTTGATTTCCTCAAAATTGCTACGTATGTAGGTATTATCCGCGTTGTATAGACCAAGAAACAGAAGTTATAACAGGTTCAAGTAATGGTCCCAGGTCCTAGAGCTTTAAGTGGTTCAGCCGGGCCCGGCACAGACCTTTTGACTTTGTATAGATTTACAGTGTGTTCCAAAGATGTTAGCAGTAAATATTTCAATGTATTAAAATTAGGTAGGGAACGAGTTATGAAAAATTAACCAAGTTGCATGCAGATATTCACTATATATATATATATATATATATATATATATATATATATATATAGCCAAACCATTATTCTTTGCCCAGCTCAGCCTTATAGGTAGATTAAACTTCTTAAGAGTACTTGTGTTTTTTTAGTATGGGTGCCAAGTGGTAAACAGTAGACATTCTGGCGAGTATTGGGTGGATGGAAGGAAGGAGAGAGGGAGCTCACTCTTGGTCTGTCTTTCTTTCTTTCTTTCTTTCTTTTTTTTTTTTTTTGGTTTTTGGTTTTTCGAGACAGGGTTTCTCTGTGTAGCTTTGCGCCTTTCCTGGACCTCACTCTGTAGCCTAGGCTGGCCTCGAACTCACAGAGATCCACTTGCCTCTGCCCCCCACGTGCTGGGGTTAAAAGGTGTGTGCCGCCACCGCCGCCGCCGCCGCCACCCGGCCACTCCTGGTTTTTCATTTCTAAAAGTAAGCTGGCTCTGTGGGTAAAGGCTCTTATCGCCAAGCCTGAGTCCAACCCCCAAGAGTCCCATGGTAAAAGGAGAACTGGTTTCTGATAGTTCTCCTTTCTCTGACCTCCACACATGTGTTGGGGTCCATACCCTCCTCCTCACCAAGAAATAATACATGTAATAAAAGTATGTGACTAATTAGTATGGCATTACAGAGAGAAGACTGAAGTTGGGTCTTGAAGGCATATAGGATATGAATGGATGGGGAGAGTAAAGGAGTCTCAGTTCAGAGACCTAAGGGAAGGGAGGTAGCATGTTGAAGTCACTCTGTCTTGAACAAAGCTGGCCACATGTAGGAGCTGGGGTGGGGGTATTCAGAAAATCCAAGGATCGATGAAATACATCTCTAGAGACTGTTGTTGCTTTCTTATTTCTTATTTGGGGCTTTGTACGCCCGTCCCACCCCCACCCCCACCCCTGTGTGTATGTGTGTGTGTGTGTGTGTGTGTGTGTGTGGTATATATATATGTATGGTGTATGCAAATGTGTGTGTGCATGCCTCTGAGTGCATGAGCCTGTGTGCACACACTTTCAGAGACACAGAGAAGAATGTCATCTGTCCTGCTCTGACAAGTCTCCACCATATTCCTTTGAGACAGGGTCTCTCACTGGATGCTGGAACTAGACTGGGTGTCCATCTCTGTCCCCACAGCACTGGGGTTTCAGGTCCATGGGCAACTTTTTACATAGGTGTCCAAACTCAGGTCCTCACTCTTGAAAAGCAATTGCTTTCAGCCCTGAGCCATCTCTCCAGTCCCCTGTTTGGGTCTTTTTTTTCTTTTTTCTTTTTCTTTTTTCTTTTTTTTCTTTTCTGGAGCTGAGGATCGAACCCAGGGCCTTGCGCTTGCTAGGCAAGCTCTCTACCACTGAGCTAAATCCCCAAGCCCCTGTTTGGGTCTTTTAACTTTAAAATAAAAGTGACTGACCTGTTCCGATGTTGTTTAGTTAGAGAGACGGCCCTTTTGCCTTTCTGTGTTTCTAGTGCCGTTAACAGTACACACATTTCACTTTTGTAGAGTACCACTGAGCCGTTGACGAGAGATCACACCCAGCACTTGGTGAATGGAGGTGAGATGAAGGTAGAACAGCTGTTTCAAGAATTTGGCAACAGAAGATCCACAATTCTTCAGTCCAATGGCATCACCAACTCTGAGAAGTCCTCTCCTCCTGTTCCCCAGGGGAAGAGTTCCGAAAGCCTGAACACGGTGAAATCCAGCAGTTCCTCCAAGCCTTCTAAAGTGCTGCCGCTGAGTCCTGAGCAAGCTCTGAAGCAGTATAAACACCACCTCACTGCTTATGAGAAGCTGGAGATCATGAGTTACCCAGAAATCTACTTTGTGGGTCCAAATGCCAAAAAACGACAAGGAGTTATTGGTGGTCCCAATAATGCGGGATATGACGATGCAGATGGAGCCTATATCCATGTGCCCCGAGACCATCTAGCTTACCGCTATGAGGTGTTGAAAATTATTGGCAAGGGGAGTTTTGGACAGGTAGCCCGTGTCTATGATCACAAACTTCGACAGTACGTGGCCCTGAAAATGGTGCGTAATGAGAAACGTTTTCATCGACAGGCAGCCGAGGAGATCCGGATTTTGGAGCACCTTAAAAAGCAGGATAAAACTGGTAGCATGAATGTTATCCACATGCTCGAAAGTTTCACCTTCCGGAACCACGTGTGCATGGCCTTTGAGTTGCTAAGCATAGACCTGTATGAGCTCATTAAAAAAAACAAGTTTCAGGGTTTCAGCGTCCAGTTGGTTCGCAAGTTTGCCCAGTCCATCCTGCAGTCCTTGGATGCACTTCACAAAAATAAGATCATTCACTGTGACCTAAAGCCAGAAAACATTCTCCTGAAACATCATGGGCGCAGCGCGACCAAGGTCATTGACTTTGGGTCCAGCTGCTTCGAGTACCAGAAGCTTTACACGTACATCCAGTCTCGCTTCTACAGGGCCCCGGAAATCATCTTGGGATGCCGCTATAGCACACCGATTGACATCTGGAGTTTCGGCTGCATCCTTGCAGAACTTTTGACAGGACAGCCTTTATTCCCTGGAGAGGACGAAGGAGACCAGTTGGCCTGCATGATGGAGTTGCTAGGGATGCCACCACCAAAACTTTTAGAGCAATCCAAACGTGCCAAGTACTTTATTAACTCCAAGGGCTTGCCTCGATACTGCTCCATGACTACTCAGGCAGATGGGAGGGTTGTGCTTCTGGGGGGTCGCTCACGCAGGGGCAAGAAGCGAGGCCCCCCAGGCAGCAAAGACTGGGCAACCGCCCTGAAAGGGTGCGAGGATTACTTGTTCATAGAGTTCCTGAAAAGATGCCTTCAGTGGGACCCCTCTGCCCGCCTCACCCCAGCCCAAGCATTGAGACATCCTTGGATTAGCAAATCTGCACCCAGACCTCTCACCATGGACAATGTGTCGGGGAAACGGGTAGTTAATCCTACAACCGCTTTCCAGGGACTGGGCTCCAAGCTGCCTCCAGTCGTCGGAATAGCCAGTAAGCTTAAAGCGAACCTAATATCTGAAACCAGTGGTAGCATACCTCTGTGCAGTGTATTGCCAAAGCTGATTAGCTAGTGGACCACTCGGAGATGCGTATGTATGTATTTTTAGTTACCTTGCAAACATGCAAATGGAAAAAAAATCGAAGCCCATTCATTGATGGATTTGTTTTTTGTTAAACTAAATTTTTTTTTTTTTTTTAAACGAGGCAGAACATTTTTATATGACAAGAAAAGAACTCTTCAAGGGCTAATGGTCTAACCAGCTTGTGTTGGCCATCTGGAGTATACATTAAATGACTTTTTATAGGTCAATGCATCTTTGTCATACTCATTAGAGGTACCTCAACCCGTGTATTACTCTCCTCATTTAAATCTCTTTAAGACAGAAGAGAGTCTAAAAAATATATGCTATTTCTCACCTCTCGTCTCCCTCAGCATCTGTTTGGGACGGTAGTTTGGGGTTGTGTTAGGTATGGATGTAGAACAAAGCTACAGTTCTTACCCCAACAAGCAATTCTGTGTGCTCATTCCAGGTGGAAGGATTCACGGGAATTCGAGTGGCTGTTGGTCACCAGGGCAGTGGGTTTTGTCTGTATTATTTTGTCCCTGTTTTATATCCTGGGTACTCAGTGGTTTACAGATCCTACACTTTATCAAATAATCCTGTAGTTATGGTAGGCTTTGGTGATTTCCCCAAAAGGCCTGCGTGTTAAAGGCTCGCTCCCCAGCACTGTGGGGGCGTGGGGGAGTCCAAGAGGTGGGCCTCACTCTTGGGTGTTGGGTCATTATGAACACGCTCTTCAAGAGGCCTGTGGGGCCCTGGCTCGTTCTCTTCCTCTTTTAACTCAAGTGAATGGCTTTGCTGGGCCATACACTCCATTGTGATTTGATATCCCTGGCTTGGGACCACAGGGCTGGTCGGTCAACAGATTGGGACCTCTGAACAGAGTGTCATGGTAAAGCGGTCCCTGATATAAGTTCATCATCTTCGGGATTTGTTCCAGGAGTAAAAAGCCAACCCATACTGATTTTAAAGCCAGCTAGGGCATCCTCTTTCTGCGATGTCAAAAGAAGCTAACTCTTTGTCACAAATGACCCAGCGTGTCAAAGGTAAGAGTCTGCATGAAAACAACAGTCCCTTCCTTGGTCGTCAGCGGCCAGACCACTGGCCGCGTCATCGTGGACTCTGGATTTTGTGAAGGTGATCGCTGTCAGGTAGGCTCACAGCAGATTAGATGCCCCTTGCCCCTTAATGTTCCACACCTGCACTCTGAACTTCCCACACTTCCCCGGATGCTTAGCGAGCGAACTCTGGTTGTAAGAAGAAAACTGTTTGAAAGTCCAGAAATGCAATCATCTGTTTTCCCTGGTTCCGTTCCCTCCAGCAGCCTTCCTTTTTTTTTTTTTCCTCTGAGATTTAAAGTTAAGTGGCAAAAGCTGGTAGTGCCCGTGCCTGCCAGCCACACGTCTCCCTGGAAGGGTGGGGAGGGGACAGGAACTAAGGAGCTCCCTGGTTTCATGTTAGTTTTGCCATCACATCTGTTTCCTTGGCCCTTGGGGACAGATGTGTCCAATTGCCATGGGCACTGTGCCTCAGAGCAGTGTTTCTCACCGTGGGCATGACCCTGTGTGTGTGTGTGGGGGGGGGAGTGTTAAATGCCCCTTTCACAGGGGTCACCTAAGACCATCAGAAAACACAGATATTTACACCACGACTCATAACAGCAAAATGACAGTTATGAAGTAGCAATGGATATAATGTTAGGGTTGGGGTCACCACAGCATGAGGAACTGTATTAAAGGGTCTCTGTGTTAGGAAGGTTGAGAAGCTCCACCTCAGAGCAAAAAAGCATGGCTTGCTTTCTGCTGTGTGCTGGAGTGACCCAGATCACCTTTTCCCTTTCCCAGCACCAAGGCCAGAGGCAAGTTGCTCAGACAAGCCACAGCCGCTTTAAAGGAAGGAATCTTGGTACTTTGGGGCGGGGATGGTTCAAACTTTATCTGCTTGTCTCCTGGTTTACAGAAGGCAATCCACAGCTCCTCGTCACTCCATCTGGACTTTCTGACTTGCTAGAGAAACTCACTCTCCCGTGTTATCTACACAGAGCACACGTTGGGGTGGTTTTGGCTGTTATCGGTGTGGAAGACCTGCTTTCCCGAGCAGACGGTTGAAAGGGTCACTACCTTAAGTGACACATTGGATTGTGATGCTTGTTTGCACGGGCAATCTTTGTCAGTCAGCCCAGACAGGGTCTGAACTTTAGAAAGGAAGCTATGGCTGAGGCTGTCCTTCCTGGGTGATGAGTGGACGGTGAGCTCATTGCAATTGGGCTGAGTGGAAGGTTACAGACGGCCCGTGCATTATGAAAAGTAAAGAAAGCTCTGAAAAGGTGAATGGATACATTTCTGTCTAGACTTGGCAACCACGGGCATGACGCACAGCAGAGTCATTCTCATTGGCCGGCCTGCCTCCTGCAGTGACTCAGGTTTGGAGAAAGTAGGCTGTTTTCTAAATACAGAACTGGCTGTACTGATGAATTTGAGGAGCTTTGCCAGTGTTTTTAGAAGCTGTTGCTCTGCCCCCCAGACCCCTGTCCAGCCACAGCGGTGAGGGACCGGGTCTTACATGGCTGGATTGTTGTCCGGCAATTTTCATTGCAGCCATTTCAGTGAATCTGATCAAGTTGGTTGTCTTGCTGACTTCAAAATCAACAAGCATCGATTCAGTCTCCACAACTGTTATCAACATAGTAAAAGAGTTCGGTCAGAATTTTTATTTTATTGTTTCTGAAATACTTTTTTTTTTCATTTCTCGTGGGGAATTAACTAATTCACCCTCTCAGTGATTCGAATAGACTGCTCCTCTTGTTCTCTTATCTGCTGTCAAGATTTCTCTGCAACACACGTGAGCTTCAGATGACACGAGTGTCTCAAACATGTACAGACCATACTCCTCCATGACTGGGCTCACTTCTCCTAAGTTCAGCCACACACCCTGATGTCTTCTTTGGAAGATAGGGTAATCAGGTAAGAGTTACCTGAGGCTACTTTATTCTGGTAGGTACAGTTAACTTGGTAATAATAAAAAGGAAAATACAAAGCTGGGCAGTGATGGCGCACACCTTTCATCCCAGCACTCGGGAGGCAGAGGCAGACGCATCTCTGAGTTAGAGCTTAACCACTCTGTCATCAGCCCCTTGGTTCCTAGTCCTGTGCCTGTTACTATGCCGTTAACACAGACGGTGGAAAGGTGACGATCGTTCTGCAAAGCCTACATAGGCCTTATTTCCTCTGGGAACTAGAGAAAAGTATGCGTCCTTTCATGTCTTCCTCAGCCTCCGCCTCCTCAGAAATGAGGAGTCTGTAGATGCTCTCTCTACCGCCTTGGACGCAGAGCAAGTGCAGGGCAGAGAAACCTACCTGGATCTGTCCAAGTCCAGAGTGAGAGAGAGCCACAGATTACAGGTCAAGGAAGAGCTGTCGCTAAGCAGGGACTCGCTTCCTACGTTTCAAAAGTACTTTGTATACCCTCGTTTCAACTCACCCCTCTTGAGAGTCTCACACTTCCTGGAGCCCAGGGATTTTAAAGGGTTTGCTTTCCTGACCTGATTAGAGGCAGTCCTTTCTAGGTGTCTGTTGGATTGCACCTACTGATATTCAACGAGGAAAATTGCAAGTCACGGTGAACTCATCTATGCAAGGCTTGAAAGCTCTGTCATCTCCGAGATCCATACCCCTGAGGTAAACCAGGGTGTCCAGAGCAGCGGTTCTCAACCTGTGGATCACGACCCATTCAAGGAGCTCAAAAGACCCTTTCCCAGGGGTCATCTATGACCATCTGCATCTCAGTTATTTACCACTGTGGTTCTCTACCTTCCTAATACTTTTGACCCCTTAATACAGTTCCTCACATTGTGGTGAAACCCCCAACCATAAAATAATTGCGTTGCCTCTTCATAACTGTAATTTTGCTACTGTTACGCGAATCATAAATATCTGATACGTAGGATATCTGATATTCAACCCCTCCCCAGTGGTTGTGACTTCCCCTCCCCCAGGTTGAGAACCACTGCTCTGGATGGAGACAAGCCAATCCGCTTCTTGTAGCTCACTCACTGCTAAGCCTGCCCGCCTGAGTGGAGGAGACTTAGAAATGTATTCCTTTCCTTTAGCACCATGCAACTGGAACACAGAATACAGAACACAGAGAATGAGGCCAAGTGGCGACCTGTGGCGGCTTCCCCTCTGAACTCAGCCTTCACAGTGTTCAGTTTGAATCATTCTGTTGTCACGGTAGTCTTCCATTGTTCATTCGATCCTGCTGACTGCTTCTGGAAAACGCAGCTTGGAGTGAATGACTCATCATTGCCTGGATCCAGGTGTTTTGTTTTTCTGGGGGTTAGTGGCAGTGGTGGTTTTATATCAAAATGATTGCTTTGAGAGTGTTCCAGCAACTCAGTTCTTTCAGAGTCAACACAACGTAGACACGAGTGCCCTGTGGGGCTGGGGAGAGGGTGTGGTAAAGTGCTGGTCACAGGGAAGCACGAAGTGCCAAGGAGCAGGAGAAGTCTTGAAGAGACTCAGCCCCTGTTCCTGTTAGTGCCCAGGGCTGCTGTGGAAACCCAGGTAGAGTGTTTGTGGATAACCAGCTCTCGGGGACCCCCGACTTTCAGTTTCGCTGGAACCATCCCACCAGCCCAGCTTAGTTTGCAGATGTGGCCTGACGAACAGCTTCAAGGGAGCGGTTTGTTTGAAGCCCTAGCACGGTTTTTAAAATTGAACAAATGGCAGGAGAGGGAGTTGGAGCTTCGGGGTCTGCGGGCAGCTCTGCTTCAGCCCGCTTCTCTGTCTGGTCCCGAGCCACACTATTGTCCTGGTAACAGGAGCTAAAGGGGGATGAACTGAGAGACTGCCTTGTGCCGCCTTTGAATTGTCCCTCTGCTTTCTTCCTGGTCAGAGCACAGCTGGATGTGAGGGAAACTAAAGCTGCTATGGAAGGCTCATCTTTGTTTTGTTTTGTTTTGTTTTGTTTTTTCCAACAGGGTTTCTCTGTGTAGCTTTGGTGCCTGTCCTGGATCTCACTCTGTAGACCAGGCTGACCTCGAACTCACAGAGATCCTCCTGGCTCTGCTTCCTGAGTGCTGGGATTAAAGGCGTGCACCACCACTGCCCAGCAGGCAGGCACATTTTTAAGGAATGTTCATCCTTCAATACAAACATTAAAATTGACCACACCTGCATGCTCCCGTGAGTGTGTGACAGGGCTCGCCCAACTCCCCCCCCCCCACTCCCCCGTGTGCTCACATGGCCCACAATGTGCACGTGGACTTGAGTCTCACCTTCCACATCTTTGAGACAGTCTGTCTTGTGCGCTGCAGCTACCCCAGGCTTGCTCACCCAGGAGTTCCCCGTTCCTGTCTCACTGCCAGGGTACTGGATTGCAGACGCACTACTGCATCCATCTTTTCATGTGGACTCGGGGGATCAAACGCAGGTTGCCAGGCTACCATAGCAAATACTTCGATGTGCTGAGCCATCACCCTGGACCGCCCTTGGCTTCTTACACCATCAAAAGCCTGTGAGGCTTGAAAAGGTAATGAAATGGAGACAGGGTCCACGGGTGTAGATGGACTTTACTTCTGGGGCCGCCAGCTCACAAAAAATGACACGGAGACTTATTATTAATTATGAAAGCATGGCCTTAGCTTAGGCTTGTTTCTAACTAGCTTTTATAACTTAAATTAACCCATATTTAAAAATCTACATTCTTTCACACACCTGTTACTTCATCTCCATATGCCGAACCTGGTTATTCTGAGTCTGGCTGATGACTCTGCCTTTCTTCTTCCCAGAACTCTCTCTGTCCAGAAGTCCCTCCTATACCTCCTGCCTAGCTATTGACCATTTAGCTTTTTATTAAACCAATCACACTAACACATCTTCACACAGTGTAAAGGAATAGTCCACAATACACGGGCATTTTTATTGTATCTTACTCTCTAGGAAGGACTGTGTTAGTCCAGAGGTAAAACCTGACATGACTGCAGTGAGACCAAGCTGATACTGAGGACTGTCCTTGACCCTTCTGCCCCAGGAGCAATTTGCCCTTGGATGGCAGAGGCCACCCAGCTCTGCTTGGCTGTTGAGAAGCCGAGGAGGAGCAGCTCTCGGGACACCCAGTCTGAACACGATGGAACCTTCTCATCCATCCTGAGGTCAGAACCCAGGCCCAAAGTAAAACCACATCTCTTCTGGTGCAGGTCCATTCAGGCCTCTGCAGACTGAGCTGTCTTTCCACAGTGACTTGGGAAGCTGCTGGTGTGTGCTCAAGGAACGAAGTTGACTTCTTTCCCACCCTGTCAGAGGAGACAGGTGACTAGATGGGGAGGTGCAGAAAATGCAGCCCTGACATCGTCCCCTGTAGGTTTGAGCAGGTGTCGTTCATGGGCCTGGTTCTAGTCCCTTTTCCTTGAACTCTCCTCATTTAAGAGCCCATTTCTTCTCTTTGCAAGCCAAAGAAACTATCTGCTGTAAACACTAGAGAGACACCTAGGCAAAGTTACTCTGGGAGAAGAAGGCGGCATCACTGTTGTGTGGGGACCAAGAGGAACGCACTGATCACTGATCCCTCCTTCCCATCCTGCTAAAAGGTGAGGGCCAGGTGCTTCCCATCAGGCCTTCCTCCTGCTGGGATAGCTGTTGTTCAACTGCTGTGTCTCTCACACCGCCCCCACAGCCCCTTCCAAGCCTAGCCTGGTCTGAGGCAGGGGGATTTCAAAGATGGTAATTCCTCTGTTCTTTCTTTATTCCTGTCCTTAAATTCCACCCTGAAGAGGGCAAAGGGAGGTGCAGCTTTAGCCGGTAAAGGGCTGGGGAACACAAGGAAGAGTTCCAAAGTCAGGAACTGCAGGAGTACTTCGGCTTTTCCTAACTAAAAAATGGTGGAGAGCCAGACTCCCCGAGGCTTGCTCCCCGCTCCCCTAAGAGTTTTACACCCCATTCTCTTAGCAGCTCTCCTCCCATACTTAGCTGCCAAAATAGCTTTATTTTACACACTGGGTTGGGAAAGAGGCAGAGGCTGAGGCTAGGAAGTTGAGTAGTGCCAGGCAGGGCTTAAATAAGGAGAAGAAGCCCCACCCTGCTGGCTTGGTTTGAGGAGAAGCCATAGGACACAGGACATAATGGCACTGTGTGCCCTGCCTGGATGTCAGTCCCATGGGATGAGGCCGGTTAAAGACAGCTCTGGGAGACCCCCAACTCAGACGCCTCTTCTAGCATGAGAAGTCTCCTAAGTGAGGGTGCCAACCCTTCATTATGGGGTAGAGGGGACAAGAGGTATCCAGGCAGGGGGCTGGCCAGTGGGACTTTGCCCCAGGCAAAGCTATCCCCAGGTGGCACTGACAGAGGGTGATAGATAACATGGGTGAGGGCAGTGTGGACCAAGTTTGGCAACTTAACAGTTACCTGATCAAATCTAAATTTGGCCAAGGGTGTTGTTTCTGTAATACCAAC